TATTTAGATGACATACTCATCTACTCTAAGAATATTAAGGAACACCATAAACACTTTAGGTTGGTCCTATCTAAATTATTGAAAAACGGACTTTATTGTAAACTAGAAAAATGTCTGTTTGACGTGGAAAAAGTTAATTTCCTAGGTTATATAATTTCAGGTTCGGGCTTTCAAATGGAACCTAAAAAACTGGAAGCAATCTTAAACTGGCCCCTACCCGTTGGAATTTAGGCCATCCAATGTTTCATAGGATTTGCTAATTATTATAGAAAATTTATCAAAGGGTTTTCCTCTATTACAGCTCCTATAACCGCCATGACAAAAAAGAATAGGAATCATATAGGAGTCCCGAAGCTAAGAATGCCTTTGAGAAATTAAAGATAGCTTTTTCTTCAGCCCCAGTATTAAGTCATCCTAATCCTTCGTGTCCCTTTCTATTAAAAGTAGATGTCTCAGAGACAAGGATAGGGGCTGTACTATCTCAGAGATCCACGAATGATCAACCCCTACATCCCTGTGGCTATTTCTCTAAAAAACTGACTGAAACGGAACGAAGATATGATATAGGAGATAGGGAACTGTTAGTTATTATTTCAGCACTCAAAGAATGGCGTCATCTATTAGAGGGGTCATCTGAACCGATCACCATTCTTACTGACCACAAAAACCTTTCCTACTTTAGAGAGGCGAAAAGAATGTCTGACAGGCAGATTCGTTGGTCTTTGTTTTTAACACGCTTTAACTACATTGTGATATATAGACCCGGATCTAAGACTACCAAAGTGGATGCCCTATCCCGACAACATGAACATCTATCTCCTCCCGTAACCCATTTATCCTCCATAATCCCCTCACACATAGTAGCCACAGTTCATGCTAAAGTCTCTTCTAGTTTAATGGAGGTATTATCCAAATGCCAAGATCACAACTCTGTGACTATCCCTCAGGGAAAATTATACGTACCTTTAAATTATAGGAGACAAATCCTGTCCTTGGTACACGACTCTAAGGTTGCCGGTCATCCCGGTATCCATAAGACAGAATCATTACTCGAAAAACAATTCTGGTGGCCCTCTTACAAGAAGGATGTTCGAGAATTTGTTTTAGCCTGTAACATCTGTTCCTCTAATAAATCTCCTAAGGGTCGTCCTTCAGGCCTCCTCATGCCATTGCCTATTCCCGATAAGCCCTGGTCTAGTATCGCCATGGATTTCATAGTGGACCTACCACTTTCCAAAAATCACCGGGTAATCCTGACTATCATAGACAGATTTTCCAAGATGACCCATCTTGTCCCTTTAATTAAATTGCCTTCGTCCTCTGAACTGGCCACTGTGTTTATAAGGGAGGTGGTTCGTTTACACGCTATACCTGTCGATATAGTTTCAGACAGAGGTCCACAATTTATTTCCAGGTTTTGGAAAGCATTTTGTAATCAATTGGGTATCAAGCTTAATCTCTCTTCTTCATATCATCCTCAATCTAATGGGGTTACAGAAAGGATGAATCAATCACTCGAACAATACATTCGCTGCTTCACCTCCGATCACCAAGATGATTGGATGGAGTTACTTCCTTTGCCCGAATTTACCCACAAATCTACGCAACATAGTCCCTTTTATATAAATTATGGCTTTGACCCTATTACTCTTCCGAGTTCCTTTTCATCCACTGCAGTGCCAAGCGTTGACTACACTATTAAGAATATGAAGGAAACTTGGATAGGGGTCAAACGTATCTTGACTCAAAAGGCTGAAACTCAGAAATGTAAAGCTGACAATCGACGAAAAACCGCTCCAAATTTTATGGTAAGGGATAGAGTGTGGTTGAGTACATGCAAAATAAGATTAAAAGTCCCCTCTATGAAGTTCGCTCCACGTTTTATTGGTCCTTTTAAAATCCTCAAACGCATTAATCCAGTCTGTTATCGCCTGGATTTGCCGGCTAATATGAAGATACCCAATTCCTTTCATGTTTCTCTCCTTAAACCTTTGATTTGTAATCGTTATACTCGAATACCCACGAGACCTCCTTCATCACTTGTAGAAGGCCAAAATGAATACGAAGTGAAATCTATTTTGGACTCTCGTGTTTCTAGAGGTCGTCTCCAGTATCTATTGGTTTGGAAAGGGTATGGCCCCGAGGAACGGTCGTGGGTGGATGCCTCAGATGTACACGCTTCTCGCCTAGTTCGTTCATTTGCTAGGCGTCGGCTAGGGGCGGTTCTCAAGGGGGGAGTACTGTGACGATAACTTACCTTTCTCCTCTGGACCTGCGCAGCGCGGCGGTCTCCCTGGCTGCTTCCGGGAGGCGGCGCAGCCTGTCGGACGCTAGCCGCTCGCGGCAAAACACCTCTTATGAAGCGGCGCATGCGCGCCGACGTCATCAGGATTTTGTAGCGAAAATTTACACGTGGCCACGCTCCCGGACCTTTTGGGGGCATGGCTTTAAAGCAAAACACACCTCACTATAAAAGGGCGCCCCTGTCCTTCCCCCAGCGCCTTAGTGTGGTTCTTATTTGTTCCCTCTAGTGCTCTTGGTATATTTGTCTGTTTTCTGGTATTTTGACCCTTGGCTTCCTTACTGACTACTCTCCTCTCTGGCTCCCCGAATTTTGGCATGGTTATTTCTCGTGTATTCCGTTTTCTGTACTCCCTTGACCTTTGGCTATTCCTTTGACTATTCTTTGACGTTAAGCCCGGCCACCCTAAGGTCCGGTATATGTCTCTTTCTGGGTTACTCTCTGCGTGAAGGGGTCACTGTCGTGACATGCCTAACCTTGCTATTGCCTTGCCCCTGCCAGATTTCTTTGCCCTGGACTTTAGTTTATTTTATTTTGCAAGTACAAGTGCTGCACTTTGGGTTTCTTATCACCAAACTTGACAGACATCCCCAGCGCCTTGGTATCTGTACCTGAGCAGATAATTTAATTAGTGCCCAGACACCTTGGCACCAGGGTAACAAAATTACATAAAACTTAAGGTTCCCATCCCCACATCCCCACAAATGTGCCATCTCTGAGAAGTTCTCTTCTGAGCACCCATTCTGTCCAAAAAGCACCTGGATCTAAGGTGGCTAGCTGGAGTTAGGTAGAATGTGATGTTTTAGCGGGTTGCGACCAACCTTCGATCCGGCTCAGAGTTCCATAGCACTGGCTAGAAATCCCTGTCATTTAAAATTGTGTTGCTTTCAGTATCATTGGATGCCTAACCACCGCCTCTGTCACACTTCCAAAAATCATCCTGATTGGTGCATCTGAGGCCATGAGTGCCCTCGTTAAAGTTTCACTGGACCACAGCAACTCTGTGATCCTGTGATCCGATCAGGAGTTAGAGGTTTTGAGGGTAGCTCCCGGTCAGGCGCACTGTGCCTCAGTCCCCGGGTTGCCTATGAGTGCTCTGAGAATGCAGAGAGGAAGGGCTGTACTGGGAGGCACAGATTGGAGAGGTCAACAATAGTGATATAGTTCTCTTTGGAAGGAGGTGATGGTTGAGCGATATGTACCAATCCTAGGTGACCAGGTGGTCTGTCACAACATTGTTGCCTAGCTTGTTGTTTCTAACAATTCCCAAATCCTTCTTGTGTGATGTTATCCCTAATTCACTAGCATTTAGGGTGTATCTGCGTGTACATTCTTTACCCTGAAGTGCATAACTCTGCATTTTTCTACAATGAATTTCAACTGTCATTTCAGTGTCCAGTCCCCTAATTTATCTAAATCCTTTCTTTAAAGCAAAGTAATATCCTGCTCACATTGTATTACTTTGCAGAGGTGTGTGTCATCTGACATGACCTATGTTTCATAAAACCATGCTGAAATTTGCTAATCACAATGAGCATGCCGGACCCCAGCACCGCTGGGAGACGGAAAACTGTCTAGTTGAAATGATCAGAGTAGCAGACTAACTTATCTACTCTCTTAATAAGTACCCTACCACCACAACCAGTCAAACCTTTCTTACATTCTCAACCCCATCTGTTCTATAGGGGCTGTTCCCTCTCTTGTTACAAGGAACAGCTTTCTCCAGTACAGCTGCTCCTGAGCTGATTCTCCCAACATAAAATCAAAACTAGATGAACATTTTCTTTTCCTTACCCCCCACTACCGTGTGGTACATTTACCCACCTGCATACCTGTTCCTCAGCTGTCTTATCCAGGGCCGGACTGGGAGAAAAATTCGGCCCGGGCATTTTTTTAACACAGCGGCCCACTAAAAAGGGGGCGGGGCATAGGAGGTGTGTTTTGTCATCACCAATGACAAACACGCCTCCTCTCAAAGTGAGCATGTTGGTTCAATGCTCTTCCAGGGCAGACCATGCGCAGAGCTCTGCTGAAGAGCTCTAGCATGAGAAAAAAGTCCTGTATTTGTTCTGCACAGTGCAAGCAAATTTAATAACATGCTTGCACTGTCTTTCCTTGCAACTTGTCTCTGGTGTCTCTATAAATGGATACCAGGAGACAAAAGGCCAGGAAAGAGTATTGTGCATGTGTTTGGAGCCTGCTTGTGGTATTGCGTGTGTGTAGAGTGAGCTGGTCGCGGTGTGGTATTGTGTAATAAGGTCGGTTTTAGTCGTGTTGTGTTTGTGGTGTAATGTGATGCATATGTGGCTCAGGGACCCCCTCCCGCCCGGCTCTGGAAAGGGGTTAAAACTTACCTTTTTCCAGCGCCGGGCGGGGAGCTCTCCTCCTCCGATCCGCCCCGTCGGCTGAATGCGCACGCGCAGCAAGAGCTGCGCTCGCATTCAGCCGGTCGCATAGGAAAGCATTTATAATGCTTTCCTATGGACGCTTGCGTGCAAAGCACGCAAGCGCCTCTAGCGGCGGTCAATGAGACAGCTGCTAGAGGCTTTGGGGGAAGGCTTAACCCATTGATAAACATAGCAGTTTTTCTGAAACTGCTATGTTTATAAAACAATGGGTTAACCCTAGAAGGACCTGGCACCAAGACCACTTCATTAAGCTGAAGTGTTCTGGGTGGCTAGAGTGGTCCTTTAAGAGTGTTGTGTGTGTGTGTGTGTGTGTATATATATATATATATACACACACACACACACACACACACATATATATATTTGGAAGTATTGTGTATGTGTGTGGTGCAGTGTGTTGGGGGGGTTCTGTGTGTATGTGAGGGGTGCAGTATGTGTGTGTGTGAGGGTGCGGTGTGAGTGATGGGTGTGAGAGTGCCGTGTGAGAGTGCCCTGTGTGAGATGGGTGTGAGAGTGCTGTGTGAGAGAGTGCTGTGTGTGTGTGAGAGTGCTGTGAGTGTGATGGGTGTGAGAGTGCTGTGTGAGAGAATGCTGTGTGTGTGTGAGAGTGCTCTGTGAGAGTGCTGTGTGTGATGGGTGTGAGAGTGCTGTGTGAGAGAGTGCTGTGTGTGTGTGAGAGTGCTCTGTGAGAGAGTGCTGTGTGTGTGAAAGTGCTGTGAGTGTGATGGGTGTGAGTGTGATGGGTGTGAGAGTGCTGTGTGAGAGAGTGCTGTGAGTGTGTGAGAGTGCTCTGTGAGAGTGCTGTGTGTGATGGGTGTGAGAGTGCTGTGTGAGAGAGTGCTGTGTGTGTGTGAGAGTGCTCTGTGAGAGAGTGCTGTGTGTGAAAGTGCTGTGTGAGAGAGTGCTGTGAGTGTGTGAGAGTGCTCTGTGAGAGTGCTGTGTGTGATGGGTGTGAGAGTGCTGTGTGAGAGAGTGCTGTGTGTGTGTGAGAGTGCTCTGTGTGAAAGTGCTGTGTGAGAGAGTGCTGTGAGTGTGATGGGTGTGAGAGTGCTGTGTGTGATGGGTGTGAGAGTGCTGTATAAATGTTATTGTGTGTGTGTGTAGGGGGGGGTAAATAAAAAAAATAAAAAAATAAAAAACAGGCATTATGTCCCCCCCTCCCTTCTTACCTTTAGCCTGGGAGGGGGGGTCCGGCACGCGGTGTTCCCTGGTGGTCCTCGTGGGTGAGTGAACTCTAGCCTGTGAGGCTAGAGTTCACTCTCGCGAGATCCGGTCGTTGCCATGGCAACGCGCCAGATCTCGCGAGAGGAACCCGGCGGAGCTGCAAGTTAGAGCTCCGCCGGGTCCTCTCTCCAGCCTGGCTGTCTGTCTCCCTCTCTGCCCGCCGGCGGCCGCATGTGGGCCGGTCAGGGAGATCCTTGATCTCCCCACCGGCCCGTCGTGGCACAAAGCGGGGCCGGCGCTGGGAGAGTGCCGGCCCTGCATAGACCGGCAGGGGAGATCCTGGGACCTCCCCTGCCGGCCTCGGCCAATGGCCACCGCGGCCCACCGGGCATTTGCCCGGTGTGCCCGATGGCCAGTCCGGGCCTGGTCTTATCTCCTTCCACTCCACTACATGTCCTCATTAAACTCTGCTCAGTGACCAGCAGACCCCTTCAAGACTGTCAATCTGTCTTAATATTACAATTTGCTTCTCCAGATCTACAATCCAAGCTTCAAGAGAAACCACTTGCTCATACCTACCACAGAGGTATGGACACTGGACGGATTAATCCAAGCATGCATACATTTAGCAAGATGTGCACGGAGTTAACCTTTAAATCTTGCTATCACTCATTATCACAGTTACCAAAAACAAGTACAGGAATGTAAAACAATAATTACTGTTGGTTTAAACTGCTTGTTGGTTTTAACTCCCAGTTTTGAACTCCTACTTAAAAATTGCCTAATTGAAAGAGACTAATTTTAAGCAACTCCAAGTAAGTTACTGTACTTATAGGACAGATTTTTTTCCATTTTTAATTTTGTTTAGGAAAAAAAAACAATTGTTAGATATGATTGGTGTTATATGTAATTTACTTAGTTTAAATAGGAGCAAAATAATAATTTGAAAATATGAATAAACAATATTATAAAAAATAAACGCAGTACAGGATTTAAACAGTAAGAGTGTCTCGTTGATAGGTAATGTTTTAAATCACGGTTGCTATGGCTGATGGGAAATTTAGTTTCCAAGTATCTTTACTGCCCATTGTAGCCTTCACTGGAAAAACAAACAAACAAACAAATAACACATCGTCTACTCATTACACGTCTCTTTTCATTCCCCTCTAGTATCAGATGTCCGTCATGGGAGTTAGCTAAAGGTAATGACATCTAAGTCAGGTAATGACATTGCAAGAGAGTTAATGCGTCATGTTTTATGTTTATTTGTATTTTGAGAAATAGCTGTGCATTTTGATTCTGTGCACTCTACACAAACCTGGGGGAACCTACAAAAGTCTATAGGCAACCTTCAGCTGTTGTGGCTTATATCTCCCATAATGCTCTTACAGATATAATGCTGGCAATGCATCATGGGAGATATAGTCCACAACATCTGGAGAGCCGAAGGTTGCCTACCCCTAATCTAGGCTGTCATTTTTTACATTTGTGTCATCTAATGAAAATGAGAGACAAAGTGAGAGAGAAAAAGAGAACGAGACGAGAGAGGCAGAGTGTACAAAAAGAGTAAAGAGAGAGAGAGAGAGAGAGAGAGATGTCCACTTGTTCTTGTTATCTACTTTCTAAAGACAACATTGCCCTTTTAGAAAGGAAAATTAAAAAAATATATAGTTAGAAAGAATCCCGATGTTTGTCTTAATGTGTTTATAGCTGACTGCTACAGTCATTTATTGCTTAATGAAATCCAGGGCCGGCGCTACCATAAGGCGGCACAAGCGGCCGCCTTAGGGCGCACGGACCCAAGGGGCGCAAAAATGTCCGAGTGACTGGCGGGAGCATGGAGAACTCCGCTCCCGCCGGTCAATTTCTGCAGCTATCTGCCCAGCTGGCTGAGAAACGTGCACCCACTGAGGGAAGTGGGCGGAACAGCGAGGAGCGACCGCGGCAACTCTCTTCCTGAGCTACAGGCCGCTGGGATACGTGACATCATATCCCGGCGGCCAACTGCTGTGGAGAGAGGAGGAAAGCTACAACAGTACAGCGGGACCTCTGTTTTGCAACTATAACAAACAGTAAGTGTGTGTAAGAGTTAGTGTGTGTGTGTATGTAAGAGTTAGTGTGTGTGTGTATGTAAGAGTTAGTGTGTGTGTGTGTAAGAGTTAGTGTGTGTGTGTATGTAAGAGTTAGTGTGTGTGTTAGAGTTAGTGTGTGTGTGTGTGTGTGTATGTAAGAGTTAGTGTGTGTGTGTGTAAGAGTTAGTGTGTGTGTGTATGTAAGAGTTAGTGTGTGTGTTAGAGCCAGTGTAGTGTTAATGTGTGTGTGTTAGAGCCAGTGTGTGTATGTAAGAGTTAGTGTGTGTGTGTGTATGTAAGAGTTAGTGTGTGTGTGTGTGTAAGAGTTAGTGTGTGTGTGTGTTAGAGCCAGTGTGTGTATGTAAGAGTTAGTGTGTGTGCGTGTTAAAGCCAGTGTGTGTGTGTGTTAGAGCCGGTGTGTGTGTGTGTTAGAGCCAGTGTGTGTGTAAGAGTTAGTGTGTGTGTGTTTGTTAATGTGTGTGTGTTAGAGCCAGTGTGTGTATGTAAGAGTTAGTGTGTGTGTTAATGTGTGTGTGTGTGTTAGAGCCAGTGTGTGAATGTAAGAGTTAGTGTGTGTGTGTGTGTGTGTTAGAGCCAGTGTGTGAATGTAAGAGTTAGTGTGTGTGTGTGTGTGTGTGTGTGTTAATGTGGGTGTGTTAGAGCCAGTGTGTGTATGTAAGAGCTAGTGTGTGTGTGTGCGTGTTATAGCCAGTGTGTGTGTGTAAGAATTAGTGTGTGTGTAAGAGTTAGTGTGTGTGTGTGTCTATAAACTGTGTGTGTGTAAGAGACTGTGTGAGTGTAAAGCAGTGTGTGTGTGTGAGAGACTGTGTGTGTGTTACAGCTAGTGAGTGTGTATAAGCAGTGTGTGTAAGAGACTGTTTGTTTGTGTGTGTGTCTGTTAGAGCCAGTGAGTGTGTATAAGCCATCCAAGTGTGTAAGAGACTGTGTTCGTTAGAGCCAGTGTGTGTGTATTAGCAGTGTGTGTGTGTGTAATGGTCAGTGTGTGTGTTATGGTCAGTGTGTGTGTGTGTATGAGCAAGTGAGTGTGTGACGCAAGGGGGTAAAGAAAAGTAGGATGAAGACACAAAACACGTAAAAAATAATGCCAGACAGGATACAATATACAAAAAAGGAAAACAAGAGAAAAAGGTGGTAAGATGCAAAGGGGCAAAATAATTGGTAAGAGGGGCAAAAGTGGGAATATTAGACAGACAGGTGAAGATACATTTTGGGGGCAGCAAAATGTGTCTTCGCCTGTGTAGACAGAAGTCCTTGCACCGGCCCTGTTCCCTATGGTGTCTTGCAAGACTTCATGTAAAGCCTGAGGACGTCTAGCATTTTCAGAATGATTAAACAGGGAGCACCTCTAGTTTCTCTGAATTGCAATGTTTTCAATTGTAGTATTAAAGGGACAGTGCACCCTGACCACTTTAATGAGATTACCTGGTCTTGGTCCCTTTATTGCAGTGTTTACTTGAAAAGTCAAATATGCAAACTACTCCAGGGAGGCTGTATGAGTCACAGCCAGGGGAGGTTAGCTAGGGATGCATAAACAAGAGTACTCCATTCTCTGCCATTTGAGTAAAATCCATGACTTTATTAAGCTAAAATTATGGTGCTTGGTGCACTATAAACACTTTAAAAACATTTCATAACTTACTGAAAGCAATGTTGAGGTCTTCACATGACAATATTTATTTATTCTCTGCAGACATGGCAATGTGAGCAGCAATGCCATCAAACCAACGTGGATTCCCTTCAGCTCCACCATATCCACAGAGTAACGTATATCCTTCTCGTTGATGCTGATGAACGGTAACTACTGGCTGGATGTTATGGGTGACTTCTTGTTATGGGTGACATCACTAACCGCATTCAATGTATAACCTTCCAGATGACTGGAGTGCCCCACGGAAATCTTCAATATTCACTTTAGGTGATATATTCCACATAGAGGCTTCTGTTGACACTACAAACCATGTGCCTATGATGATCTTCGTGGACCGCTGTGTGGCAACATTATCCCCTGATGCCACCTCCAGCCCTCGTTATGAGATCATTGCTCAGAATGGGTAGGTTATGCCACTTGTGGTATTGTGGTAGCTGGTAATACCCTTT